CCCTTCCCGCGCAGCGGAGGCCTACCACTTAGCCGCGGGGGCCGGCGCCTACGTGGGCTACTGGGTGGTCATGTTGACGCTGTACTGGGTGGGCGTGCGGAGGCTTTGCCGGCGGCGGACCGGGGGCTACCGTGTCCAGGTGTGAGTTCCAGCCACGCGGAAGCCGCCTCAAGGGTCTTCAGGGGAGGTCAGAGGAGACCTGCAGGGCCCCCGAGCCACGAACTTGCTGGGTGGTTCTCTGGGCCTCAGTTTCCCTCCTCTGCAAAACGAGGGGGTCAGCAGCCCAAGATTCTTCAGTCTGGACTCTATTGGGACTGGGACTTCTGGGTCTCTAGGGAGGGGTATTTATTGGTCAGGGTGTGGGATTTGAGGAGCGGAGGGGAAAGGGTCCTGCTTTCTCCTCGTTCTTATTTAATCTCCATTTCTACTGTGTGATCAGGATGTAATAAAGAATTTTATTTATTTTCCCTGAGTCTCCTCCTTTTTTGAGAACTAAGGGGACTGGATGATTGAGAATTGGGGACGCTGGGCTCAGTGCTGGGTGCTAGCCGTTTGAACCTGGACAAGACCCTCTCCTTCCTTGGAACCAGGGGTTCCCTCTTTTGAAAACAGGGATTATTAATCCCATGGGGCAGGGTTGGTGTGAGGGTTACTCAACTCATTCACAGGTTCTTACGAAGCACCTGCCACCTGCCGCACACTGTCAGGTACTGCAGGTGATGCCCGTCTACTCAGAAGGGTAACACATCCCTTTTCTCTTCAAACCTCCAGCACCCCCTCCCCCAGCCTCTTAGCTGACTTCCTATCTCACTGAGAAAATAGGGGTTACAAGAGAAAACTTTTGCTGGGGTCCTCACCTCCACGTCTTCCCACTCACTTGCCCCTGTGTGCATACACTCCACCTTCTTGCTGTTGCTGAGGGTGACCTGTCTGTGCTCCAAGCCAACGCCAACCTCTTCCATCAGCGCACCAGACCCTATGTCCTCTTTGTCTGCTCGAAGACTTCACTCCAGCAGTTCCTTCCACCTGATCCTCCGTCAATTCTCCTTTCCCTTCGGAGCCTTTCCCATCAGCATCCGAACATATTGTTACTCTCCCATTTTTAAGACTCCCTCTCTTGACCTCAGTTTCCCCATAAACAACTGTTCCATATCTATTTCTGTTAATAGCAAATTTCCTTGGGAGAGTTGTCCATATTTGTCTCCAATTTCTCTCGCACAGAATTCACTCGTTCAAAGTGTACAATTCGGCCGGGCGCGGTGGCTCACTCCTGTAATCCCAGCACTTTGGGAGGCCGAGGTGGGCAGATCGCTTGAGGTCACGAGTTCGACACCAGCATGGCCAACATGGTGAAGCCCCATCTCTACTAAAAATACAAAAAAAAATTTAGCCAGGCATGGTGGCATGTGCCTGTAATCCCAGCTACTCAGGAGGCTAAGGCAGGACAATCACTTGAACCTGGGAGGCGAAGGCTGCAGTGAGGTGAGATCATGCCACTGCACTCCTGCCTAGGTGACAGAATGAGACTCCATCTCAAAAAAAAAAAGGGTACAACCCAATGGTTTTTAGTAAGTTTACAGGTTTGCACAGCCACCACCATAATCTAATTTTAGAACATTTTCGTCACCCCACAAAAGGAACCTCATCCCCATTGGCAGCTCACTTCTCGTTTCTCACCCCTTTGTCCCCCTAAGACCTGGACAGCTGCTCATCTGCTTTCTCTTTATTGATTTACCTATTCTGGCTATTTCATATAAATGGAATCTTGCAGTATGTGCTTTTTTTGTGACTTCTTTCATTTAGCATATAAAGGTTCATCCATGTTGTTGCATTTATCACTGATTCATTCCTTTTTTATGGCCAAATAATATTCTGCAGTATGGCTATGTTGCATTGTGTTTATGCATTTATCAGTTGATGGATATTTGGGATGTCTCCACCTCTTGGCTGTATGAATGATGCTACTATGAACATTCGTGTGCAAGTTTTGGTGTGGACACAGCTTTTTAATTTTCTTGGGTGTATACTTAGAAATGGAATTGCTGGATCTTATGTTAATTCTATGTTTAATTTTTTTGAGGAACTGCCAGACTGTTTTGCACAGGGACTGTACCATTTACATTCCCACCAACAAAGTATGAGGGTTCTAATTTCTCTACACCTTTGCTACATTTTGTATTACCTGACTTTTTTTATTACAGCCTTCCTCGCAGGTGTGAAGTAGCATTTCATTGTGGCTTTGGCTTGCGCCGCCCTAATGACTAATGATGTTGATTTCCATTAACTCTTAAACCCACGCCAATCAGATGGTCATGCTTTCCTCTAGTTCTCCATAGAAACTGCTTTTGTCAAGTTCATCAATGATATCCATGTCGCTAAAACCAATAGCCAATGCTCAGCCCTATGTCATGATTTGGCTGTGTCTGACACAGTTGATCACTCCTTCTTGAAACTCTTTACTTGACTTCCTTTTTTTCTTTTTTGAGATGGAGTCTTGCTCTGTCACCCAGGCTGGAGTGCAGTGGCGCGAACTCAGCTCACTGCAACCTCTACCTCCCAGGTTCAAGCAATTCTCCTACCTCAGCCTCCCAAGTAGCTGGTACTACAGGCATGTGCCACCACATACAGCTGATTTTTGTATTTTTAGTAAAGACAGGTTTCACCATGTTGGCCAGGCTGGTCTCAAACTCGTGACCTCAAGTGATCCACCCACCTCAGCTTCCCAAAAGTGCTGGGATTACAGGCGTGAGCCACCGTGCACAGCTACTTGGCTTTCAGAAAGCCACAGTTACCTTGCTTTCCTCCACCTTGTTTTCTTTCCTGGATCCTCTCATCCTCGTCTCTTATCCATCTATACCCACTTCCCTTGTGCCTCCAGTGTTAATGGCTCTGAATACTTCATTCATGCTCCTTGCATGGAGATGGGACTCTCCCAAACAGACCTTCAGGCTAGACCTCTCCCTTAAATTCCAGGCTTGTATATCCAACTGCCTCCAAGACATTTCCACTTGGATGCCTAATAGGCATCTCAATCCAGACTCCTAATATCTTCTCCCCTTCCTCCCTGCTAATCCCCATGAAACCCGCTCCTCCAACAGTCTCTCTATCTCAGTAAACAGAACTTCATCCTCCCAGCCGCTCAGGCCAAAAACTGCTAGAGCTGTAACTGTCCATCACTAGCCACTACCACATGGAAGTCTAAACAATTTTTTCCCGTTCATGCATTCCTTGATTCATCAGTCACCAAAACATTCACCAAGTACCTATTGAATGCCACACACTCTGCCTAGTTTGCAAGTATAGAAACAATTAAGAAGCTTGCCCTCAAGGAACTCTTAGTCAAATAAACAAGAGTTCAGAGTGATCCACAGGTAAGAATACTCACACAGGCCTCTACGATTCTGTTGTCAAAGAGCAGGAACTATGTAACGTTAAGGTAATTAAAGCTACCAGAGTTGATTTTTTTCTTTTCTTCTTTTTTTTTGACACCCTTTCTTGCCTGAAGAGCTACCTAAGATTATGAGTTCAGTTCCTTAGTTGCACAGGTCACCTTCACGTGCTTCACGGCCACATGTGGTTGGTGCTGTGCTACTGGACAGTGCAGATCTAGAATATTTCCAGCATGGCACAGGGTTCTACTGGACAGTGCCACCGTGGTTATTCTTGGCCTCTCTCATCCAACATTCTGAATCATCAGCAAATCCCACTGGTTCTACCTTCAAGATATATCTAGAGCCACTGCTCCTCACCACCTTGTTTGCCGGGGCCGCATCTCATCCCTGGATTACTGCAGCACCTCTCAGCGATGCCAGCTTCCACCTTGCCCCAGTTCTATGTGTTATGCCCCAGTAACACACAGTAGCCATGGAAATCAAATCATGACCTGCCTTTGCTTGGCTCAAAAGCCACCCGTGACTCTCATCTTTTTTTCTTTCTTTTTTCTTTTTTTTTTTTTTGTGACAGGGTCTTGCTCTGTAGCCCAGGTTGGACAGCAGTGGTGCAGTCATGGCTCACGTCATCTCTCTTTTTTTTTTGAGATGGGAGTTTCACTCTTTTTGCCCAGGTTGGAGTGCAATGGCGCGATCTCGGCTCACTGCAACCTCCGCCTCCCGAGTTCAAGCGATTCTCCTGCCTCAGCCTCCCAAGTAGCTGGGATTACAGGCGCCTGCCACCACGCTTGGCTAATTTTTTATTTTTAGGAGAGACAGGGTTTCACCACATTGGCCAGGCTGGTCTTGAACTCCTGCCCTCAAGTGACCTGCCTGCCTCAGCCTTCCAAAGTGCTGGGATTACAGGCGTGAGCCACTGCACCTTGCCCTTTTTTTTTCCTTCTGAGTCAGGGTCTCACTTTGTAGCCCAGGTTGGACTGCAGTGATGTAGTTATGGCTCACTGCGCCTTGACCTCTCAAGCTCAAGCCTCAGTCCCCCAAGTGCTGGGATTACAGGCGTAAGCCACCACACTCAGCTGACCCTCATCTCTTACAGAGGTAAGTCTAGACTTCACAGCAGCCAGTGGCACCATCTGGTCCCCATGGTCTCTGACTTCACTGTGTATTCACTTCCTAAGGCACTGCTCCAGCTACATTGGCCTCCTGGATGTCCTCCCGGCTGTCTTCCCACGTGCCTGGCACTCCTGCCTCAGGGCTCACTGTAACTTCCGCCTCCCGGATTCAAGCGATTCTCGTGCTTCAGCCTCCTGAGTAGCTGGGATTACAGGCATGTGCTAGCACGCCAGGCTAATTTTTGTATTTTTAGTAGAGACAGGGTTTCACCATGTTGGCCAGACTGGTCTCGAACTCCTGACCTCAGGTGATCCACCCGCCTCAGCCTTGCAAAATGTTGGGATTACAGGCATGAGTCACCTCGCCTGGCCACCCGAACACTCTTCACACAAATATACATAATGACTCATACAGTCATCCCCTTCCAGTTTTTATTCAAATGTCACTTTCTCAGTGAGGGCTTCTCCAAAGATCCTACTGCTACTTCCCCTGGCCCCATATTCCGTTTCTCTGCTTATCTTCTCCATCACACGTTACCATATAACTTTGTATTTTGTTTTCTTATTGTCTGTGACATAAGAAATACATAGTTGGTGACTGTCCCTGGTTTCTGACAGTCTTAAACCCTCGTAATTTCTGGAGTGATGTAGGCAACAGAAGCGTCTTACATACAGCTCCTAATCTCTTGAATTTCCTAGGTGATAGCAGCATCGTTTGTTCTGCTCAAGTGACTCTTGGTGGTCTCCTGGATGGGCACTGGTCACCAGCGAGACTAGGCCATGATTGGGAGCTTAAGAGCTTTCGGCCTCACCCACCCCCTCCAGTCCTTGGGGAGGGAAAAAGGGGTGGAGACTGAGTTAATAAGTGATCACGACTACATGACGTAGCCTCCAGAACAATCCCTAAAATATGGGGTTTGCAGAGCTTCCAGGCTGGTGAATGCATCTATGCACTGATAGGCTGCTGCATCCCAACTCCCATGGAGACAGAAACTTCTGCACTTGGGACCCTTCTGGACCTCACCCTATCCCTATCTACCTCTTCATCTGGCTATTAACCTATTTCCTTCATACTCTCCTTTATAATAAACCAGTATGTTTCCCCGAGTTATTCGAGCTATTCCAGGGAATCACTGAGCTGGGGGGCTGCAGGTTGAAGGAGCCCCGGACTTGCGACTGGTGTCTGAAGTGGGGTCAGTCTTGTGGGCCTGAGCTCTTAAAGCTTGTGTAGTGTGACGCTAACCCTGGGTTGTTTATTTTAGAATTGAATGAATTATAGGACACTCAACTGGTATCTGGGAGAGTTGGAGAATCGGTTGGTATGGGGGCAGGAGGTAGAATCCCACACATTTAGTGTCAGAAATGTTGGGAGTAGACAAACAGTTTTCTGGCCAGGAGCGGTGGCTCACGCCTATAATCTCAGCACTCTGGGAGGCTGAGGCAGGCAATCACTTGAGGTCAGGAGTTTGAGACCAGCCTGGCCAACATGGCGAAACCCTGTCTCTACTAAAAATACAAAAATTAGCTGGGCATGTTGGCATACGCCTTTGTAGTCCCAGCTATTTGGGAGGCTGAGGCATGAGAATTGCTTGAACCCAGGGGATGAAGGCTAGAGTGAGCCAAGATTGTGGCACTGCACTCCAGCCTGGGCGGCAGATCAGGACTCCATCTCAAACAAAAAAAAAAAAAAAAAGAGAAACAGTTTTCTTTTACTGTCCACTGGAATCTAAGTTTCATGTGAGTACCATACAAACTTTTTGTCTCTTATTTCTTCATTGGGATCTCTACAGTGCCTTGAAAATACATGACAAAATAGTAAACACTCAATAAATATTTGCTGAATGAACAAATTAATAAAGGGAAATAGACCAGTGAACAAGAATGAGTACATGCTCAGAAGGAGCTTCCCTTTCAGGTAGGAAAAGCAAAACCAAATTAAAAAATGAGTTAACGGCTGGGCGCGGTGGCTCACGCCTGTAATCCCAGCACTTTGGGAGGCCGAGGCGGGTGGATCACTTGAGGTCAGGAGTTTGAGAACAGTCTGGCCACAAGGTACAACCCCGTCTCTACTAAAAATACAAAAATTAGACACGTATGGTGGTACATGCCTATAATCCCAGCCACTTGGGAGGCTGAGGCAGGAAAATTGCTTGAACCTGGGAGGCGGAGTTTGCAGTCAGCTGACATCACACCACTGCACTCCAGCCTGGGCCTTGGAGTGAGATGCTGTCTCCAAATAAAATAAAATAAAATACAATAAATCAAAACAAAACAAGTCCTGCTGGTATGCAGAGAATGGGCTACAGTGGAGAGGCCAAGGAGAGGCGGGGGGCTGCTCCACTGATCCAGACATGAGGTGGGGGTGACTGGGACCATAGAGAAGGCAGCTTCACGAGATATTTAGGAGTTGAAAAGTCTGAGAGTTGGAAATGAAAATGAATTGGAAGTGGAGGAGGAGTCAGATTCCAAGGTTTCTGGTGTGAACTGCTAGGTGGATGGTGCTGCTCTTTCTGGTAGGAGGAAAGCCTTGGGGAGGAACAGCCTCTGAAGGCAAAATGGAAGACTCTATTGGGGTGCCTTCTGCAGGTGGAAATGTCAAGGAGACAGCCAGTAACCTGAGGGGGTATCTGGGTTCCCATCTAACTTGCACTGCGGTAGCTATGCCTAACTGTCATTATGCGGGCCATATTCATCTGGGCATGTGTGGGCTTGCTGCACCTCCAACCTGACTTAGTAGTGACCACCTTCAGAAATGAAACAATCCAGAGTTGAAATATATTCTTTATTTTCACAATGGAAATAGGATAGGGAAGGAGGAAAGAGATCCCTTTGTTAGTCGCCACTGCAGTACCATCGAAAGAATATCCTGGGGAAACAAAGAGGTATGTGTGTTACAGGAGGGGTTGGGGACTAGAAACTTAAGTCCTGGAGGCCTGGACACCAGGGTCGAAAAGGTGGACAAGGGCCTGGACTCCTGGGTCTGAGGGAGGAGGGGCTGGGGCCTGGGCTTCTGGGTCTCAGGGAGGAGGAACCTGGGTGCCTGGACTCTTGGATCTGAGGGAGTAGGGGCTAAGGCCCTGGACTCCTGGGTCTGAGTGAGGAGAGGTGTGGAGGCCTGGACTCCTGGGTCCGAGGGAGGAAGGGCTGGGGACCTGGATTCTTAGATCTAAGGGAGGTGCGAGCTGGGGACTTGAGATTCCTGGGCTGAGTAAGGAGGGGCTGGGACCTGGACTCGTGGGTCTGAGAGGGAAGGGACTGAGAGCCCGACCTCCTGGGTTGGAGGTTGGTGGGAACCCAGATTTCTCGGTGGGATCTGAGAGAGCGGGGAGCTAGATGCTGGGGCGCCGGGGTACCGAGGACACACCACGCCAACACGGTCGCACTCGCTGATGCGAGGGCCCCGAGGGCTGCAAGCAGGAACAGGTTGCTGGGCGTCAGAGCCTCGGGCCTGACCAGCAGCTCGCCCAGGCTGGGCCTCCAGGGCTCGATCAGCTCGGCGTCCCGCGGCGCCCAGCGCAGCACTTCCCGGAACGAGGCCTGCAACTCCGTCTCCGCCCGCGGGGGCGGGCCCGTCACTGCAGGGCCGCGCACGTCAGTCAGGCACGAGCCCCGCCCTCTCCCCGCCCCGCTCGCTCGCGCCGCCGCGCCCCGCCCCACCGTTAAGAAAGAAGTAGAGCCGGGCCAGGGGGCGCTGGTCTTGCTTGATCACGCAGGAGAACGTGCCGCGGTGCGTAAGCTGCGCCGGACGGATCCGCGCCAGGTATCCTTCGGCCCGCGGCATATCTCGGAAATAGGACAAGTCCTGAGTCCGGAGCTGCGAGACGCGCGGGCTTAAACTCCTCAACTCCGGCTTGCCACTGAGTAACCTACAAGCCCCGCCCCCCGAGCTAGACCACGCCTCCTGGAGTCCCGGCCCTGAGCCTTCAGCAGCCCGCCTCCGAGCCTTCTACTTGCTCCTCTGCCGTAAACGCACCCCTTCCCCTCACTCCTTAAACCCTTACGCATAACCTACCCCTAGAACCTGCTTTTGTTTATGTATGTGGTGTTTATTCTTTTTTCTTTTCCAGACAAGGTCTCGTTTTGGCGCCCAGGCTGCAGTGCAGTGGCGTGATCATAGCTCACTGCAGCCTCGAACTCCTGGACTTAAACAATCTTCCCGCTCAGCCTCCCCAGTGTCTGGGACTATAGGCGTGCACCACCACGCCCGGCTGTTTTTAAAATTTTTTGGTAGAGGTGGGGTCTTAGTATGTTGCACAGGCCGGTCTCGAACTCCTGGTCTCAAGCCATCCTCCCGCCTTGGTCTCCAAAAGCGCTGGGATTACAGTTGTAAGCCACCGCCCCAGGTCCTTGGTCCTGCATTCTGATCTTCGAGCTCTCCCCTAAATCCCGGGACCCTCCTCTTGCTGATGCCTGTGTCTAGACGGAGCTTCGCGGAGTCCAGTCCCCGCAAGCTGTCTCCCCAACCTCTAGTGAAGCCTAACTCCCCGTCTAAACGCTTCGCGCCTGCCCCGCCCCGACTCACACCTCCTCCTGCGAACTTCCAGGAATAGGTGATCTCCTCCTTTGGCAGCGGGAAGTTCACGATGCAAGAAAACATAGCTTGGTCGCCCCGAATCACTGTCACATCCTGAACTGAAGACGGAGCTGGGTTCACTCGCTGGGCCCCGCCCACGTCTGGCTCGCCACCAGCCAGCTCATGCCCCTCGGTGCTCTGGTCCTGTTTCTCAAGTTAGTCTCCTGCACCCCGAGGTCTCGCCCCTTCACCTGGGCAGTCCAGCGGGAGGTCGCAGACCCTGGAGTAGCACCCGCTGCAGAGGAAACGCCGGGCGAACTCCTGGAGACCTGTGGGGCGGGAACGCTGCGTCAGGCGCCACCTGCCCGCCCAAGCCCGGGGCCCTTGACCCATTTGAGATCCGTGTAGCTTCCCAGGATCCATAGGCCAGGTGGCATCTTGACCTCGCCCTCCCTGCTGTCCTTGGCCGACTTTCACGCCTCTCCGCCCTCTAGGGTTCCTATTGGTTTGCTTCGGCTCTCACACCCACCTTCTGAGGATTTAGAGCAATACCTCGTTTACTTCCTTTTCTCCAGGCCTTATTGGCCTCCTAAGGATTTGAAGCCCACCCGATTTCCCCCACTTGATGTCGTAGGTTTCGGCCCCGACCGCCTCCCTTACCCCGCAATTCCAAGTTTTAGATGAAGTCCTTACCGCAAGGAGGGATGCAGGCCTGGGCTGTGGAGGAAGAGGAAACATCACTACCTTAAAGTCGTGGGAAGAATCCTGCCTGATGCTCCCCTAACGGATGTTACAAGGCCGAACGCATTGCTCCCAGGAGGTAGGGCCAAGCTTTCGTCACAACCTGGGGGCGGGGCCAAGCCTGAGCATTCCATTACAAGGTCAGGCCCAGGCCTGCTGCCAGCCTTCTACTTGGGGTTTAGGGGGAGCCACACTGGTTTGCTGTAGGCCCTGAGGGGGATGGGCAGTCCAGGTGTATTTCACCGAGGAGGCGGGGCTAGATCCTGGGCGATCCTTGCAGGAGACCCGGGCTAAGGTGGTGGCCCACTAAAAGAGGCGTGGCCAGGCTAGAAGTAGTCCCAGAAAGGGGCTCAGTTGGAGGGGAAACTTCATCGAAGGGGCGGGGCTGGATCAAAAATGGTCCATGCAGGGTAAGAGCCCCTCCTCAAGGTCTGAGGCTCAAGAGATGGGGCCAGGGGATTGAAGGGGAGTGGATGGGGGTCTCAGGAGTGGGTTTTGTTTTGAGATGGAGTCTTGCTCTGTCACCCAGGCTGGAGTGCAGTGGCACAATCTCCAGTCACTGCAACCCCGCCTCCAGGGTTCAAGCGATTTTCCTGCCTCAGCCTCCTGAGTAGATGAGATTACAGGCATGTGCTACCATGCCCAGCTAATTTTTATATCTTTGGTAGATACGGGTATCACCATGTTGGTCAGACTGGTTTTGAACTCCTGACCTCAAGTGATCTGCCCGCCTCAGCCTCCCAAAGTGCTGGGATTACAGGTGTGAGCCAACGTGCCCGGCCAAAAGTGGGGTTTTCTAATTGTGTCTGGGAGAGGAGAGATGGAGTGTATTTTACCTTCTTTAAGCTGTGTAATGACCTTCTTCATTTTCTCTGCAGCATCAGGGAAGGCAACCTCAAAGGATCCTGGAGAGTGGAGGGGAGGACGGCCTGTGTAGTAAAGCCCTTCCCCTAGGGCTTGGTCCTTGGTCCTGCATTCTGATCTAGCCTGGCTAGAGCTATGCCAGCCCTAGCTCACAGGACGTGCTGTCAGGTATCTGCCCTTCCCCGGCCCCTCTTCACCCCTCTCTTATTACCATATCCTCTGCTCCTCTTCTTATCTCTCGCCTTGTGTACTTGAAGGCTAACAAGTCCCTAAGTCTCCTTTCTTCTGCCTCCTGAATCTCTCCAGGATGGAAGCCCTCCTGGACACCTGCGTGTGGCTTGTTGCGGGGAGAAGGGGAGGATAAAGATAAAATTCCTCCGCAAGGCCTATTAGGTCTTACGTGGTTTGGCCTAGTTCCCCCTCCCTCCCTGTCCCATCCCTACTGCCCACCTTTCATTTCCTTTATTTTATTTTTTTGAGACAATGTCTCACTGTCACCCAGGCTGGAGTGCAGTGGCGTGATCTCGGCTCACTGCAACCTCCGCCTCCTGAGTTCAAATGATTCTCCTGCCCTAGCCTCCCGAGTAGCAGGGACTGCAGGAATGCGCCACCACGCCTGGCTAATACTTGTGTTTTTAGTAGAGATGGAGTTTCACCATGTTGGACAGGCTGGTCTCGAACTCCTGACCTCAAGTGATCCACCCACCTCAGCCTCCCAAAGTGTTGGGGTTACAGGCATGATACACCATGCCCGGCCTCATTTCCTTTCATATGAAAACCACCACATTCTCTAGCACCTCAGGGCCTTTGCACATGCTGGCTTCGGTTTTTAACACATTTTTCCTTCTCCTAATCATCCTTCCATCACCACAGATCTAACCAAGTTCCCTGTTTTTGTCTCTCATTGCAATCATTTCATTCCTAGCTCTCATCCGTCTGCAATTACATATATTTATATATAGATGATGATCACGCATGTCTTCTCTAAGTAAATAAACATGTTCTTCTGTAGCGCTGTGTCCTCTGAATCCTGGAGAGGACCCTGAGTCTTAAAAGTGCTCAGTTAGTATTTGTACAATGAATTCCAGGATCCAACTCAAACTAGAGACCCCAACTGGTGGCCTATGGCCCAAATCCATCCCTGGGATGTGTTATATTTGGCCTGGAAAGTGTTTAAAAGAAAATGAACCAGTTGCCAACATATAAAATTTGGAATGTCACATAAAACATTTGGCATCTTTTTACAAAGTTTGAAGAGCTGTAACACAAAGATCGTATTTCCATAAGGCAGCGAATAGCTGGAGATGAGTAGCAGCCATTCCCTTGAAATGGGGCACACACTGGCCACTTCCATGGTCCCCATCCTCTATTCACTTCTGTATTTACCCATCTTTTACTCTTTTATCTTCCTTATCTTTCTAGGTGTTTTTGTTTTAAGATAGAGTTTCGCTGTTTGCCCAGGCTGGGGTACTGTGGCGTGATCTTGGCTCACTGCAACTTCCACCTCCCAGGTTCAAGCGATTCTCCTGCCTCAGCCTCCCCAGTAGCTAGGATTACAGGCACCAACCACCATGCCCAACTAATTTTTGTATTTTTAGTACAGATGGAGTTTCAGCACGTTGGCCAGGCTGGTCTCAAACTCCTGACCTCAAGTGATCTGCCCACCTCAGCCTCCCAAAGTGCTGGGATTACAGGTATGGGCCACCATGCCTGGCCTTGTGTTTTGACCACTGCAGTGGTCTCCAAATCCAAACTGTATGGGTTTGTGGCTTGTTCCAGTGGAATAAGAAAAAGTAGACAGCTGACTTGATCTCGTGGTGGTTTGTGGAAATCAGAAATGTGGCAGGGTTTTATAGGCTAAATTGTGCCCCCCCCCAAGCAAATTTGTATGTTGAAGTCCTAACTCTCAGTACCTCAGAATGTGACTGTACTTGGTTCTTAACGAGGTGATTAAGTTAAAATGAGGTCATTAGGGTGGGCCGTAATGCTGTATGATTGGTATCCTTATGAGAAGAGGAAATTAGGACACAGAGATGCACACAGGGACATATGAAGAAAGCATCTACAAGCCAAAGAGAGAGGCCTTAGAAGAAACCAACCCTGCTGACACCAAAACCTTGATCTCAGACTTCCGGAAGGCAGAAACTTCTGTTGTTCGAGTCACCCAGTCTATGGTACTTTGTTACAGTGGTCCTAGCAAACCAATACCCAGGAATTGTCCATTGCCTCCAAATATCTATGTATCGATATCCACAGAACACAGATAAAAGGCTTCATCTCCCAGCCTGCCTTGCAGTTGTGGTCATGTGACCAAGCTATAACCATAGGATATAAATGGATGTGTTATATGTGAGTCACAGGAGGTGGCCTTAAAAGGGAGGTAGTACCGCACCTGGAATCCCCACTACTCTGGAGGCTGAGGTGACAGGATCACTTGAGGCCAAGAGTTCAAGATAAGCCTGGGCAACATATCAAGACACCATCTCTAAACAAATTTTTATAGATTAGCCAAGTGTGATGGCATGTGGCTGTAGTCTTAGCTACTCAGGAAGCTGAAGTGGGTGGATGGTTGAACCCAGGAGTTCGAGGCTGTAGTGAGCTATGATTGCAACACTGTACTCCAGCGTGGGCAATACAGCAAGACTCTGTCTCTAAAAAACAGAGAGAAGGTGGTGCCATCTTATTGTTCCCCTCATCCATCCTGCTGCCTGAAAATTTGTTTCGATGGTTGGAGCTCTAGCAGCCACACAGGACAATGAGGACAAGGGCTATTCCCTGGGATATTAAGCCTTCAAGGAGCTTGGATCCCCAAGAAATGGAGGTGCCATACTACCCTTAAGTGCCTACCTCAAGACTTACTTTATATAGGAGAGATAAACTTCCTATGGGCTTAACCCATTGCAAGGACAGGGGAAAGCGTCCTCTGTGATTAAAGCCATACAAAAAGGGAGGGAACTGAGGATATTGGCAAGAGAGTGGCTGAAACGACGATCATTGGATATACACTTGGAGGGAGGAAGCACTGATGCCGAGAAGTGAGTTTCAGATGAGGACCTAGTGGTCTCTCCTTGGCCACAGAGCAGGAGTGTGGTCTCAATATGGCAGGATGATCAGGAGCATGTGGTCAGACTGGGGTGCACAAATGAGATGCCAGGATGTTGCAGGAGTCATCCAAAGAATTTCTATGGGCCAAATCAAAGGACTCATGGGCAGGGTGAATGTGGGATATACCAAGTAAGTCATGGTGGTGGGTTGGGCTTATAACCCACCAGGGGAATATGAATGGAGTGAAATGTTCCAAACGGCCTGGGTTATAGCAAGCAGGCCACAAAGAGGCATGCGTGGGTGTTGTAAAGTCTCCCCCAGAGGAGTTGCATATCGTCAGGAGCTCTGACCCTGGTTCACATCATCTGGGGTCTGAGTCCTGGCGCTTCCATCTTGAGCACACCTGTCTCAGATCTGAGTATCAATCACAAGCCCTCCTCCCCATGTGACCTTGGCCAAGTGACTTCGCCTTCCTGATCCTCAGTCTCCTCATTCATCAAATGGGGATGACAGCACTGTCTGTATCACAGGGTTCGGGGAGGATGAGATGCCATACAACCATGAAAGCTTCCTCATCCCCACTCTTTCAGGGCATCGTTTAAGGATTGTATGAGATTGTATCGCTAAGCATGTAGAATGGCTCCTGGCACATAGTGAGTGTTAGAGAAGGCTGGCAAACTTAGGATTGCCATCTACAAGTTTGAGATGGGGAAACGGAGGCGTGGGGAGATTACAGAAGTGGTCCAAAGTCACATGGCTACGTTTGACCCTGGTGGTCAGGCTACAGAGCCTCCATACCTAATCGCTGCATGCATAATCTCCACACCTAATACTGCATCCAGTCTGTACCAGGTCATCCACTCCATGGTTTATGTATACATATAGACAAATAAGATCACCTGGGATCACCGAGAGGCAGTCAGCCTACGTCAGCTCCTCCATCTCCCTGCTCCTCCCTCTGGAGGAGACGCAAAAGTCATCCTTGATTCTTCCCGTTGCCCTCACCCACCTACATCTGGTCCAGTCTATCTCCAAATATATCCCAGGTCTACTGTTCTTGTCCAGAAGAGCCCCAGCGTTCCCATCTGATAAGCAGGACTATAAAACCCAGCCTCACAGGGCCGGTAGAGGATATCCTTTAGGAAGATACTTAATATGA